GAGGGAGGGAGAGAGAGCGATTGTTAAGGGGAGCTGATGACTCACCTCAGTGGCATAAGCTTTACCAATACCAGATGTGGCACCGGTGACAACTGCACAGAGGAGAAAGCAGAAAAACGTCAGATCAGTTTTATTTCTTTCAACACTCCTGTGAAACCCAGCAGGAGTTTTAAACATGGATTTGTTGTGGACAAAGATAATGTGTTTTGCTTTCCTTATACAAAAATACATTTTTAAATGTGGATTCAAAGCAGAAACTTCCATTATTTCTGATCAGCAGTACGGCACAACCAGCATTACTGTGAATGTAGTGATAACCAACTAGTAAGATTGCTAGTTGACAGAGGATATCAAAAAGCAGAATAATAAAAATCAGTATCATCTGATAGGTTTACTGGAATAATAGCAGTCAAAACATGGGCAAAATTGTATCTATTAATAAAAAAGATCCAGTTACAGATTCTCGTGTAGAATTAGACTATTTTGTATTTAGTGCAGATAAACATATACCTCAAATGCAACTTTATTTGCATGCCTCATCTCAACGAGTCATTCCAAAGTAACAATGTAATTTTAGAAGCATTTAGGAGGAAATGTAACCAACACAAGAGTAAAAGTTGCAAGTGGAATGTAAGAATGGGATTTCAGAGTATTCAGCCTTGATTTAAATGAACGGAGTGCTGCAGCAGGCCTCTAGTCCTCTGAGAGTTTGCTTCAGATACGTGGAGCATTAAAATTAAACGCTTCTTCTCCTTGTTTAGTTTGTGCTCTGGGGATAGATAGACCTGTCCCAGATAAGCTTAGAGATTTGTGTGGCGGCCAACATAGCAGCAGATAACACATGTATTTTGACTGCAAACCAGTCAGTTCTATGTAAACCGAAGACACTGTGATGATCTGAGAGTTGGCATGATAAAAATGTTAAGAAAAGAGGTACCATGTCCAGGGCTTTGCAGTCCTGACCCTAAAACCGCCACAGCTGGCACTGTTACATTTGAAGAGTACGCTGTAATTCCTCTTCTTTAACCTTACCTGCCCATTGTCCGTATGTTCTCAAGTCCACTTGCCATTTTGATGATAAAACAAACTCTCTAAATCCACACCAACATCTCCAAGTGATTTTCAGAAGGTAGAAAGTCACAGTCATTCCTCCAATGATGGCCAGTAGGTCAGCAAACAACATCTTGTTGCAGAGCTCCTTTGCTTCTAGCTCAGAGTACAAAATGCCAAAAAAGTGGCTCAACTGCCAAACTTTGGGCAGTGAAAACTGTTTATCTGTAACGCCCCTCCTCCTCCACATTACCCCACCCCTGATTGAATGCTGCTGTCATGAAAGGTGACCCTGCTGGACACATATGGCCCTAAACCTCCATTACAGACCACTTTTTGGAAGCACACCTAAGCTTTTGAGTCTTTACAGAGTTGTACACTATAATTTCATAATGATATTATTAAGAGTTTGTTCACTTAACATAAAAACATCAAGTTGCAGTTGATCGTAAGCATGCTAAACGACAAGGGAAAGCTCTTAGTTGTAACTGTCATGTCCGATGGCACAAAATGCAAAGTTTTTTGTTAAGATGTCTTTCAAACATGCTGCAGTTGTAGTGTTTCTGTTTTTTATTTTTGTCTTCAAGCCCAAGCTTACTTTCTCCAATATACAGCTCTTTCTGTAACCCGAGTCCTGTATGGTACGTATAAATGTCAGGATTTCCCTTTAACGCGCTGCAGGATGCAGCAGGTTCTAACAGCAATCACATGTGAATCTAATCGTCAAAAGCCTGGAAGTACGACTCATCAAATGGTGTCAGTGCAGATAAAAGCAATAACGTAGTTGTGACAGCTACTGACAGCTGATAAATCTCAGCTGCAGTTACAATCTGTCACCTTTTATTGTCAGTAGAAACAGTCCCATCCATTCATGCAACAACCAACGTCTGTACACTGATAAACTCAAAATGCTCTCGATAATTGTCTGAGCAACAATACATGTGATAGCCCATAAATGCTACACAAGCATATTTAGAGCTGTGATCAAGCTAAGCTGCTATCATTAAAATGATAAAAAATTGAACTGGGTCATTTGCAGTGTTCAGAGTCATAATGACTCCCCGTGGCAAAATAAAGTGTGTTTTGTGTAAAAATGGGTCAATTCATATTTCTACAAGTGTGTCTTACATTACTAACCCCTCTCTACCATAAAAAAATACTATATGCATTCAAGATTACTTATTTTCCCACTTTCACACTAAGTTTTAGCAGAAATAGCATAAACTACTGTGTCCCCGATCAGGTTTGTTCAGGTTCAGTTACCAACATGTGAAAAATTCAATTAAACTCCATTTGTGTGTTGTTTATATGGGGCTAAAGTTTAGCCCCATATAAACAACACACACGCTACAGATGATTCAGTATTGTGTAGAACCACTTAGCAACATCAAGTTTAAATCAACGTTTTATGTGTGACTTTATTAGTGTCTTACATCAGTGTGGATTCATTTTGTTTGCTCTGTTGCTTCAGTTTGTTTAGGTTTGTGGGGATTCATTTATGGGCAGCTCTCTTAAGGTCCCGCTGCAACATTTCAGTTAGGTTGGGATTTGCGAAACAAGCCAAAATCATCACGCCTCCACCACCATGTTTGACAGTCGGTGTGACGTGTTTTGAATGATATGCTGTGTTTGGTTTTCTCCAAATGTGGCCAAACATCTCCACACTGGTCTTGAGGACATTGTTCCAGAATTCTTGTGGTTTGTTCAGATGAAACTTTGGAAACCTAAGCTGTGCTGCCATGCTCTTTTTTTTGAGAGAAGAGGCTTTCTCCTTGCAACACAAACAAGCCCTGCTTGTTCAATGTTTTTCTAACTGTACTGTCATGAACTTTAACATTTAACATGCTATCTGAGATGTGTTTTTGAATTTACCTGAGCATTTCACAATCTGATCTTGGGGTGAATTCTCAAAACTTCAGTTTTTATAGAGGTCACATTTATAGAGGTAAACGTGAGATACTTGTTAATAGTTCTAACAGCAATCTGGAAGTATAGTAGCAAAACTGAGGGATGGTTAAAGTTCATTTGTACTATAATACCCAAAGGGTATTTCAGATTGACCAAAAGTTATTTCGGACAATGCTAAGGATTTTCTATGAGTCTGTTGTGGCCAGTGCTATCCTCTATGCTGTTGCATGCTGGGGCAGAAGGTTGAGGTTTGCTGATGCCAACACACTAAATATACTGATCTGCAAGGCCAGTAATGTTGTGGGGACGGAGCTGGACTCCCTTAAGGTGGTGTCTGAGAGGCGGATGTTGTCCCAGATGAGGACAAAGGTGGATAATACCTCCCACCCACTTCATGACGTGCCGGCTAGTCACAGGAGCACGTTCAGCGAGAGACTGAGATTACCAGAAAGCACCACAGGAATCATTCCTGCCCGTGGCCATCTCCCTGTACAACTCCTCCATCTAATACACTGTAAACACTTCAATAGTTACACCCTTTTGCACATGCTCTACAGTAAAATAGCAAATGACAAAGTTCACAGTTTAGAGTCAAATGTCAGTCATATATATTCTCACCTCTGTAATATTCTTGTCAGTCTTCTTGATTTTTATGATTGAGCAATTTGTTATATTAGTCCTGTTTTTAAAATTTCAAATTCTGCAACCTATTGTATTACATAATTAGTTTAGTCTGTTACTGTCTTGGAGCAACTGTGACCCACATAATTTCCTTGAGTATTAGTAAATTATTCTGATTCTGAAGTAACATAAAATAAAATCACATGTCTCACCAACAAGAACTGCAAATTAATCATAATTATACATCTGTACTGTATATAAAAAAGCAACATGTAGTCTCTTTTCATGTCCATTCACTGTAGGTGTGGATCTATTGCATGGCGTTCCTCACAGCAAGAAGCTGTTGAGCAAAATCAATACAGCTCTTCCTGCATCTGGAGCTTGTGAAGGACCTTTCAGTCGTGCAGGACTCCTGTTCACTGCTAAACAGTTAGAGCTTCACAGAAAGAACCTTGAGAGCAAACTGCTGCTGAAGCTTAACCATCATCTCACTGAGTTAAGAAATGGCACATTTTTGCTAAATCTGCAGAAATAGATGCACACCCATACAATTTATGGTAAACTGAGCTGCCTTGTATGTACATATGTCGAAGTTGCCTCGTTCTAATGTTTTCTGAGGCTGCTGCCATTTGGAGCAAAAATGAATATATAGTTTACAG